TAATGCATTAAATATATTTAATAAATCATAGTTTCTTTATTACACAAGCCAGGTAGATCGATAACACCATAATCAAGATTATGAAACATCGAGGTTGTTCTATATTGTTCTTGGCGCCCCTTAACGTGTGAATTTGGCCATACAGAATTTTTTTAAGAAACATAGAATTTAAAGAGACAATTATCTCATTCAGGCTGCAGTGTTCAAAATTTACAATGACTTTTTTTTTTCTTTTTCTTGCAGTGTAGCTGTTGTGTCTGAAGTTGCACCTTGTCCGGAGTTTCCACTCCTGGATTGAAGCTGCACCTGAATGGACTTAAGTAATAGTGATAAGGATCTTTTGCAGTATATATAACCCTATACTCTATAACGACAATAAATTAATTAATATATATAATAATATATTTTATTTGAGGATAACTATACTACTATTATTATAGCAAGTTTCAGACAACTTCAGGTACGACATAGAGATAGTGACCAATTAAATTTCTACTGTATGAACTGTACTGCAGATGCAAATATCTGGAAAGTTGGAGGTAGTCACCTCCTCGCGTCATACTGTATAAAATTTGAGTAATGAAGTCTACATCCGATATGTATGTACGTACGTACGTACTACGTTATTTGATGTTCTAACCATAAAATGAGAGTGGTTTAAATTTTCATATACGTATGTATGAGATTTACAAAGCGCATTGTTGTTCACTCTTAAAACTGTAAAATGAAAAAGAGATATGAGAAGTACATTGACAAATCGATTTTGAGAAAAATCGGGTACGTACAATAAAAAACTAAACTAAGTAATTTAAGGGTATGTTAATTTATAAAAGTAATCTCGTGACCTGGTGATTAGATTAGCATTAGAGTTTCTGCCAAGAGGGGTTTATTTGACTTTTAAGTATATGATAATATATTTCTCTGCCTAAAATTGCCGCTTTAAGCACCTGAAGTGACACCTGTCCGGAATTTCTAATTAAATGCATGCAAGACATGCAAGAAAATCCAATTTCAGGGGTTAATTCTGGTTAGGTGCAACGGACAGACTTTTTACCTATCCAGAACATTCGTATGATTGGCTAATTTACGTTGCAAGTCGATCGAATCGCGTAGTTGTCCTTTCTAATAATGATTCTTTTTCATTAACTACCATTAAACGATATAACGATGGTTTTTTTTTTTCTCATCTATTTTTACGAATATATAAATAATGCTAATCAATTTTTTTATTCCATTGACAAAAATATGTAATTAATTCTAGTATTCTATTGTTCAATTCCTTTGCCCCATTGACAAGTTTTACAACATATAATAACAATATATTTAACAATATATTTAACCTTTATGAATAGACGTTCCATCGTTCCATCTGCTGCCAACACTAAATGGAATTGTGATCAACAATAAAGTTCTAATAGTATACTCAAACTGCAAGATGATAATAATGTTTTCATTCATATATAGTAATACATAATCACGCTATAATCCTGTTAATGGTATCTTTGTCTCATATGTATGAGAATTTTTTCACATTATTTTGCAGAAAATATTGGCGTTAATTAAAGCTAGAAATGGTCGTTATTAGTGAAACGTTACGTTTACAACAAGTACTTTAATATGTATAAATAAGTTACCCGAGCAATTGATTAACAGATAAAAGCCCTTCCATTACATCTACCAAATTAATTTTTATTGAGTAAACCATTAATGTCATCAGTCAAAAACATCTACCATTAAACGA